TTTATTCATGGTGCGTGAAGATCAAAACGAATAATGAAGAAGTCAAAAAGGTTTCAGTAAAGATTTAATCCCTTAATATCTAAAAGCTATGAGTAATTTAAATATTTGATAGTTTTGTGGCGAATAGTCGTTGTATGCTATTTTTGACCATGATCAAAACCACCTTAAGATTACCAAAACCTCAAATTAATTGCCCGAAAAGGAAGAAAATCTCCGTAATTAAAAACAATTTAAGAACTGGGGATTTAAGGATAGTGGGCATACTATTTCTTTGATTTAAACKATAATTTTAAGCGGGGAAAAAGGGTTAAATTTTTCGATTGATTAGAATTGAGCAAAGTAAGATCATGGTACTGGCACTGTCTCGGGAAGGCGAGAATGAAACGATTGATAAGTGCTTCCAGTTGATTGGTTCCAGAACAATGTTATTTTCCCCCCATCGYGTTCAAACACTTCAGGTCGAATCTGCGAGGCATGCCTAAACAATTGTTTTATTTCACTGGTGTAAATATTGGCCACGTTCACCAATTTATCAATTCGATTCGCTTTCGAAGACTCTTTTTCATATTCTCGCATTTTTAGACTTATTTTCTAAAAAATACATTTGAATTTKTTTACCATCCTTTACGGCTTTTTTACCATGTTGAATAATTCAAAGAAAATAATGAGAATCTAAGAAATGCGAAAGCTTATTAAATAATTCAATATTATGGGCAGCGTGTAAATTTTTCTTAAGACTTCGTAAACAAATCGGATTGTTAAAAAATTGACGTGACTTTGATTCCGTCAAAAATTCTCGGTCATTGCCGACGTTGCGGTTCTTTCAAAGCGGAAAAAAGCTCATCTTTCTGCAAAATCCCGCAAAACAACGCTAAGCAATTCAACTTATCTCAAAAAATCTTTTTCAATTATTTTATTAAACGTTCATGATTGTCTGTCATTATGACTCTTAGTTCGAACTAATARTAGATAATTTAATTTACTTGCTCTACTGGGTTTGAAAAAGCTAACAAACTAATAGTCTTACAGACCGAAAATCATCAATTTTGAAACTAATAGACTAAACTCTAGTTATTAGCTTTGATTTATTAACAATGACATAATATTTAACCTGAAATATTTTCCGCTTTTTTCTTATGTTTTGTGGTCAGCATGTCATGCTAGATACGAAAAAGTCTGTTTCTCGTAATCACTTTTCAAAGATGTAGGACGCTTTTCTACAGACAAAATAATRATAAATAATTCCGTTTTCGTAAAARCTAATTTTTTTCTTCATTAGTCGTAGCAAGCTCCTGCTATTACTGTGATTGCTTGTGATATTTTAGGGCGTTTTACTAAGAGAGGGCTAATTTATTCAATAGTTTCCCGCGCATTTTTCATAGAACGGACGCGTCCTCATGGGTTTCCCGCCTCTTTTCTTAGTCCAGGTTTATAGACCCATTGTAGCACTTTGGAATGGAACACAAAACAATAAGCTTCCAATTCTCTGGAGATTGAAATTCTTTTGTTTTGCCCTCCAAATTGAGCTCCTTCGATGTCACATGCAAGGGGTCTATGACACGGATTCTAAAACGGCGTTTCTTCATCGGCTTTTCTATTCACACTTCCTCAATCAAAAGTTTCAATCAGTATATCACTCTTACTCGAAAGACTTTCCGCGCGTGAGTAAGCAGGAAAAGTTTCAATGCAGTGGTAAYTTTTTTCTTTTAAGTTATTACGGAATGAATTTACAGATCTGAGTATCAGGTTTTGCTGATCAGTATTGAGTAGCTTTGGTGTCATCTACACATTTTACACTGCAGTAACTTTTAAGATATTTTTTGTCCCAGTCTTGTAGTGACAGAATCCTTATTTTTGTTATCTTTTTTTATTGAAATATGTTTTATTCTGTATAAAAAGACATTTTTAGCTAGGCTTTTTAGTTTCCAGACCACGTGTCATTATCTTGCGAATTCTTCGATTCCACGTTACCTCATCGCGGTCTCTAGGGAGAGCGCTGGTGCCTTTTAACAAAATATTTCTTATTAGCATATCCATTGTTAACGGCACGACATTGTTAACGGGACCCTAATAGGTCTAGATACTTGATATATATATTAAGTTGTTTCTTCCTTCCTTGCTTGCTCCGTGACGTCTAGATCAATATCCAGACGTGTCCTCAGGGTTTATCCGCCTTTTTCTTAGTCCATGCGAGCTTCTGATTATGACTGATATTGATTCATAGATATTTCACTGAAGTTGTTTCTTTCTTCCTGGCGAAGTTAGTATGTGTGGTGTATTGCATGGTGGGTAGGGTAGTTAGTATGTGCGGTGTATTGGTGGGTAGAGAAGTATGTGTGGTGTATTGGTGGGTAGAGTAGTTAGTATGTGTGGTGTATTCTTCGATTGGACGTTACGTCATCACGGCCATGTTGGTGCAATTTAACAAAAAAATTTTCATTAGCATCCATTGTTAACGGCCCCACAATGGCCGCTATGTTTTTGTCTTTTGACTCTCTTGGGATTGCTTGCAACTCATCAATTGGTGTGTGGTGTATTGGTGGGTAGAGGAGAATTATGAATTTTGGCAATTTTGAATTTTGTGGAAAATATTTGTTTTACTTAACTTCATGCAAGACTTCTGATAGAATAGAAGATAAATAAGATACACGAACATTCGACAGCACCAAATGACAAACAATAGCACGTACAGACATTCATGGAGATGGAATGATTTTCTTTTACACTTAATGAAACTTCAATAACATCAATTGACAAACAATTGCATTTATGGACAATCATTTACCCAAAAGTGAAAATTCATTAGTGCTATTAGCATAATCATTGACAATCTATAACGCGCTTGGACAA